TAGCGCTGCCCGTGCTGCGCCGGACGCCGGCCGTCCTTCCTCTCCACTGTGCTGCCCTCTCCCGGGGTCAGGCCGCACAGCAATAAAACAGCCCTTGGGCCGCCTTCTTCTGGGATCCAGCTTGGCTTAAAAAACAGTTACGAGGTCGGAAGCCGCAGCCGTTTGTGTCTGTGAAGGGTGAAAAGTCTCTCCATAGTCCAGAGCTGAACTATAAGTTATATACATATATTGCATCTAGATTATAATATATATTAACGCCGAGCATGCCATCATGCAGAAATGAACCCGTGGGGCAGGAAGTGTTTCAGCGGGGATACTACCAGGTGCCAGGGCTCAGCTGGGACTATTTCCCTGCCGCTACGCACATTTACTGCAGGGCGAGTGTGGCAGAGTGGTGTGCAGGCAGCGGGGGCATGCATATTCATAGCCATGTCTCTCAAACACTGCTACTGTTGCCCACCTGAAAGCTGAGATTCTGGCACAGACCAGAAAATTAAGATTTTTTTTTTTTGTTTTGTTGGTTTGTTTTGATGTATGGTTTTTCACTCCAGTGGGTGTTGTAATAACCACTCCAGTGGTCATTAAAGTAGGCTGGGTTGGAAAGAAGAGGGAATTGCTGTTTGCAGTTCTCTGTTGCTGGACAGAGCTGGAACAAAGTGCTGTGTGTTACCTTACAGACACTGCTCTCCAGGGAACCAGACCATGTCCCACAGCAGCCCAGGGGGAAACAGTACCAGCAGCGGTACCCAGAGCAATGTACTCAGTTATGAAGACACTATGCTGTGGCCACTGTCTTCTATCAATTGCATCGTTGTGGCCTTTGTCTTTTCCAAGGGAAAGCCATTCCGGAAGCCCACCAATTGAGTAGAGCTGGAGTAACATGTACTCCACAGACTCCTGTTCCTGGCTCAAAATAACCCTGGCAGGAGAGGCTGCTAGGGAAGGGATGTTGTGGATTTTTCTGTACCCACACAGATTACTGGCATGTAGAATAATTGTTAGTATATGTGAGCTCCTACTTCTCAATTTCAAAAAAGCTCAATGAGCACTGCTTATGTTAGCTTCTTCCTTGAGATAAGAGGCAGCATAGCTGAAAAAGGAGACTGCATCTTGGTTTGGAAAATGTGCTTTCCAGAAGATGATGTACTGGATTTACTGCAGAACTGTGTATTATTGTCCACACAGAGAACATATGAGGACCAGATACATTTGTTTCAAAATACATCAGAAAGAGTTCCCTCTGACATTCACAGACTTACCTTGTTTGACTCCCATTCCTAGCGATGAGAGACAAAAGTCTGTGATAATATCACTGTTAAAATCCTCTCACAATAACCTTTTTTTTTTTTTTTTTTTTTTTTTGAGTTTTGCAGTGATGATGTAGCCCTTCTAGCCATGAGTTACCTGGTAGCTCCTTTGCAATTGCAGCTTTTTTTCTCATGGATGAGAGGGTAGGGTATTGCTTCATCTTAGCAGAGTTGATTTTGTTAAGGATTTTGTTAAAAGGCAGGTCCCAAACCCATTTCAGAGAGCATTCATCACCTGCAGAAGACAGGTGAGACCAGAAAGGACTCTGTCAGCTGAAAAATCTGCACATGCTTCTCGTGTTTTATCCCTATTTTGGGGCAGTCCCTAGGAGGAAGCAAAGGGCAATTCCCTTGGTTTTGCCACCCACTCAGCACTGTCTCCTCTAGTGCCTGGTGGAAAGAAGGTTGCCAGGAGGCTATTGGGAGATAGTTTTAACCTGACAGCTAGTTTTAAAATGCTCAGCTCCTGGTAATTGCTAGGAGTTTGGCACCTGTGGATGTCCGAGCTATTTGCCATCACTCTGTGGCCTTCTGCTCCTTTGGAAGAGGATGCAAAGCCACACAAACCCTTCCCGTGAAAGGCACGGGAATAGCCCACCTTTGCATTCTGTTGGTGCAGAAGTACTGAGCCCTCCTGGAGAGGGCAGCCCATGAAAACAAGCAGCCTCCTCCACTGCTGGTGGTCCAAGCACGCAGCTGAGCACATGGAGAAACAAGCGCAGGAGGAATACTGGTGTGGTTCACAGCAGTGCCCCTTTGGGGCAGTTTTCTGTGGTTGTATAAGAATCAGGATGTGATGAATCACTTGTGCAAATAAAAACAGTGTAGGTGGTGAGCTTTTTAACAGACTGCTGGGGAGTAGCTCAGTTCCCCAACTCATCTTTTAAGGGGGAGGAAAAGAAAGGCATCTTGCATTATAGCAGTTTTACAGAATTTGCATCTGGGGCTCCTGTCAGCATATTTGCCAAGTTTTATCACCAGCCCCCCCTCCTTCCCAGGGCCACAAATGCTTTTCTTTCCATAGATATATTTTCAGTGCTCTTGGCCCTCCAGCTTTCAGTCTGCCTCTTCCTCTTCTTCGCAGACATTGATGCTGTGTACAGTGGAATGCAGGTAAGCACAAACTAAATGTGTATTTCCTTTCTCATGCCATGAATTTTGCTGACCCTTTACCTAAGCATACAGAGCAGAAGCTACACGTGCAGTTTTGTAAATTAATTTGCTGATCTGATGGTGATTAGGCAGCCCTTTCAAACTTCTGTAACATCCTTCTTGCAAGGGCTTCATTAAAGAGGTAGAGCTCCTCTTCTCTAAAGACTGGGCATCGACCAGGAGAAAAAATGCTTATAGCTTGCTAGGCTTTTCTGACTAACAGAAAGGCACAATAAGGTGGATTGTGGTTTTGCATTTTGGAGGAGGCTTGTTGGCCAGAGAAGTGGGTAGGCAATGATTGCTGCTGCCACCTCCCTCCCTGGGAGCACTATGAGCTTACATGGGGCCAGCTCCCAGGCATTCAGCCAGAGCACAGTGCAGGCAGCTGCCTCCAGCTGTGCTGCCCAGCATCAGGAATGGCAAAGCCCTGAGGCTCATCTCCAGCCATCCTGCACAAGATTAATTCAGATGGGGGCCTACCATTAGGACAAGCATACACAGAAGGAAAAAAGCCACACATTGTGCATTAGCTACAGCTCCCCAGAAGTATTTGAGCACCAGATCTTGACCCAGGCACCTAATCTGCATGTTTCAGCAGTAGCTTAAATAGCCAAGATGGGTTAGGCAGCTCCATGCCATGGAACCTTCCAAGATCTCTGTGACAAGGATTTACTGTTATTTCCTACTGCCTCCTCCATGCTTACTCCTGGGAAAACATTAGTCAGCTTCTCAAATCATTAGGAACAGATACAAATCTTGGCAAGGCATTTAAACCTAATTGTTGCTCATGTCTTTTACAACAGTTTCTTTTCACTCCTCTCATCTGTAGAGTTTATGTCTTAGTAATGCTCTTGGTCACCTTTTGTGTTTCTTTATTTACAGAGGTGAGAGCATTTATTTACCTACCTGTTCCCTCGGGTGAACAGGAGCAGCCCCTTGTGAGGTCTTTCTAACCCCCATTTGCAGCTGCAATGTCCTGCAGAAGCATAAACCCTCGGGCCTTTTTTTTCCCCTTAAAACTCAATGTGTGTCAGTCAAACACATTTTGTGCAGCCCCAGAGATGATCTAGACCACATCTCAAGCCTTTAGAGAGGGAGGGAGCTGAAGTGCAGCTGCCCAAGAAGAACCCGCTGCAGCATGGGCCAGGCGCTTGGCAGTGATTTTGGAGCAACCGGTTCCCTCTTGACCTACAGTCAATTAGGCCAGAGACTACACTGTTTTGTGGCGTTGGATACTGCAATAACGACTAAGCCCTGAAGTGTTCTGTGGACCGAGGCTGGCTGTATCCAGCACTAGGGACAGTCCTCTGTAAGAAGCAGCGGTGCCTGGTTGTCCCACAACCCCTAGGAGGAAAATCTTGCCCCTTGATTTTCCTGTGGATGGTGGCATTTGTCAGTTGTGTTACCAATGGGGAGTGCACAGAGCCGCCCAGTGCCATGGGGCTCAGGGGGTTGCGCATGTAGCAAGGGATGTTTGTCCCCAAGTGGTCCTCCCAGTAAAGGGCAATAGCACTGACCCTGCATGATGTCATTCCACAGGACATTATCTTGCAGAACAAGCACCTCTGGCTGCTATTTAAAGCCTGGTTTGGGTACCAGTCAAACAGACAGTACCGAAAATGGCAGAGGATGCTGCGGAGGGATCCTAACTGGCCTCCTGTAAACACAGAAGACTTCACAGCAAAAAGCACAGATGAGATTTACACCTATGAACACAGTGACAAGGATTAGGTGAGACCCTGCAGCTGGGCATGGGGCTGCACAGTGCTGGTAGCTTCCCTGGCTTGCACTGAACAGCCTGTGTTTGCATCCTTTGTGTGCCAGCTTCAGATGTTTGAAATCCCTGCATAAACCCATCCATTCAGGGGCCACTGGGTCTGTGCTGGCTGTGCCTGGGGCACAGGCAAGGATTATTCTCTTGGCTGATAGTAAAATAACAGTCTTGACTCTACTCCACGGCAACAGCAGGTCTTGGGCCTTGCCAGCAATTCCTGCAAAGACTCAAAAATACTGAACACAGCAAAGCAGTAGCTAGCTGTATTCACACTCTCACTCTATGTTTCAGTCATTGCTCCACCAAATCCTGTCAATGCACCCACCAGGCTTGAAGGAAGGCAATCCAGAGTAAGTGACCTAATCTTGACTGCACAGAGGAGCACATGTACAATTGCAAAATCCTGTGTTTGACAAAATACTGCAGCTTCCAAGAACTACAAGAAAGTTCCCCAGATGAACTAACTCCAGTTCTCTTGCATCATGAAGTGATTACAAATCACATTACAGATGTGAGCGGGTGCCTACACTGCCCTCATCCAGCTCTCCCTTGCCAGTTCTTGCAGGCATAATGCGCAAAGTACACGAAAGGTTAAAGCTCATGGATTGCTGTGAGACCAGGCTGGGAAAGCTGGTGAGGATATGCCCTACTTAAGGTTGCAAAGGACAGCACAACTGCTGCACACGTGACCTCCCCAGTTCGTGCTCTGCCAGGTCCTGCCCTGGGTTTGCTGTCACGCAGCAGAAAGCAGGGCTAAGTCTTCGCTTCTCACTTTAACTAGGTCATGCCAAGAAGCAAGGGGTTTAACATGCTCCAGCACATGGCTGCTGGACAGGTATAAGAAGCCGAGCCTCTTTGTACTTGCTCTCTCATCTTCAAGTGGTTCAACCACCTAATTAGTTTAGCCATGAAAGGACTTTCAGTTTTATTGTGCCTTCATATATTAAAAAAGAATAACTTTTTTTAAATGTAGTAAGAGAGCACTACAAAATATGACCAGAAGTCCTGGTTTTGTTATTTCAAACACTGAGACAACTGATGTTTCAAAAAAACTTTCTGATCCCATTATGTAAGTGTTAAGAGCAGACAAAAACAACAAGCCTCTTACAAACAGCTCTTTTGCTCTCATCTCTTCTTACAGTCCAGGCAGTTGCCTGTGGCAAAACCCACACAGGATTTTATTTCTTACATGCCATCTGCAAATACCATGGTTCCAAACACATCAGCCTGATACTCCTGGTAAAAAGCAATAAGTCACACTTATCTAAGACATGCCACATGTCAGCTTTGCAACAATAGCAGGACTCTGTACACATGGATATAGAGCACAGGTGTTGCACAGCTCATTCTCCAGGTATGTCACCCAGTGCACTGAAGGGCAAAGGCTCCCTTGCAATCCATTGTGATCTTTAAACCTCAGTGCTTTGGCAGCCCAAAGAGTAGAATCATAGAATGGTTTGGGTTAGAAGGGATCTTAAAGATCATCTAGTAAGCCTTGTAAGATACACTGCAAACAATTACTGCACTTACAGTGAAGAAGAAGAATTTCAGTGGCACAGTAGCCCCAATCTGGAACAAACAGCTGCCTGAGAAAAACCTACCTGGTTTTTTGCTAGACCACACCACCATCTCCCCACCAAACTGGGGGTCTGCTGCTCCCAAAGGGAGTCACAAGAGTCAGGGAAAGGGATGGTTTCCAGGCAGGAGAAAACCGAGCATGACACCATCATTAAAAATAGCACACATTTAAAACACTGAAGGATAAAACCAGCCCTTCCTTCCTACCTCCCACCCTTCACAGGAGCAGCTCCATGTAGGCACTGCACGCAGGCTCCAAAACACAGTGCATGCTTTGTCTGCCCTTTCACAGGCCTGAGAACCTGGGGTTTTCCACTTGCACAGGCCCTTAGCTGGAGGACACACAATAAACCCTCAGCAATACTTTCACATTAGTTTTAATTAAAAAAAAAAAAAAAAAAAAAAAAGTGTTAAGGTTAAAACAAGTTATTCACAGAAAAAGCCAGCAGGGTGTAGCTAATAAAACCAGGACATGTGTAGAAAGCCTGCACAAGTCCTCAGCAGAGCACTGGGTGTGTGAGGATGGAGAATTTCCTTGCAAACACTCCCAGACTACTAAAAAAATTATCACAGGCAATGAAATAAAAGCTGATGTGGAAAAAAGACTAGTGCTGCTCTCAGCAAGGGTGACACAGTTGTTAGTAAATCTTAGTTGGCAGCTGTGGCCACAAACTGTCCCAAGTACCTCCCAGCCAGGGCTTCTCCACCCTTCCCTGAGCTCTTCCTGGCAGCCCATTAGTACTGTCTCTCTCTGGATCTGCTCCGGAGCAAGCCCAACAAGGAGAAGGCACCAGCAGCAGCTGTCACAAACCCGATGGCACCGATTGCTCTGTTGGCCTGCAGATGGAAAGTAAAACACAGGCTGGAACATGATGAGCTTGTTGGTTTTTTTGTTTTTTTCCCCCAGACATGAATAATGAAGAGCAGTCAGGGATAATCAAAGCAATTAAATGAATGAGAGACACCTTCCCCATAAGCAAAAGAGGCAACACCCAGGCTTTCACCCTTAGGCTGTGGCATTTGGTAAGAGGGCTCTATCAGGATGCAGACTGTGAACCTCCTGGTTCAGGGTCTCCTGTAAGGCCAGAGGCAGTGAGAGTCTGGATCTCATGCCTGGGGCTTTGCTGTCCCCAGGCAGTTTGCAGCCTATGCCCCAGTCCAGGGCCTCACATAGAGCAGCAAGGAGATGCACTGTGAGGCATGCAGGGGCTTACACCATGTTACTTACCTGACTAGAGACACCCTCGCCATAGCGGAGCAGCGTCACAAAGTGCTCACAGTTGTTGCTGAGCAGGTCGTAAGAGACCTCCTGGTCAATGAGATACTCAGCACGCCGGATGATCTCCTCCACTGGGAGGGGAGCGTAGGTGCCATCATACTTGTTGTTGATGTGGTAGGTATCGCTTCCCACCACATCCTTCAGGAGCTGCATCCTCACCCGGGCCT